CGAAAAACTACTTAAAGAGAAAATACCTTATATTATATAGAGTTTAGTATTATGGTTTCCATGACAGAAGGAAAAATTATAGATTTCATTTTAAACAGCCAACAAGGCGAACTAATACAAAAAGAAGGGAGGCAAACACAAAAACTCAAAATAGGCGATAAGACCTACAGATATGATAAGAACAAACCAGTTTCAAACGTATTGAACACGAAACTCAAGGAAGTGGCGAGGAGTAACGGATATAGAAAGCATGGCCTTTTAATGAAAGGTGCTAATTATCTAAAACTAAGGAGAGGCAGACCCTTACAGGATTATGTCAAGCGTTTCAAGTCCAAAATCACAGACGAGCAACAAGCGTTCAAGGGATACGCCAACACCTACTCGGTAAGTGATATAAGATTAAAGGGGTTGAAAGGCTTATCCTACTTAAAATACCAGAAGCAACGACTGGCCGAATTCGTGAACAGAAACCCGACATGAAAATAATCGTGGAAACCGATTTATCATTCAAAAATCCCGACAACGAACTTATTCAAAGGCGGTTAAGAAGCAGAAGATACAATATTCATAATCTGGACGAGTTGAACACCGTCTTAAACAACATTGGGCATGACATTGAGACACAAATTGAAATAACCGAATACATTCAGTCGGGATTGGTTCTTGGTCAAGTTGAAAAGTTAGTCATCAGTTATGATAGGTACAATCCTACCCGTGGTTCATCCTTTATTCCATTGCCCGACTGGGTGGCAATCAAAAAGGCTTGTATTAACATTAAAAATGAGGACGACTTATGTTTTAAATATTCCGTTCAATGTGGATTTTATGAGTTATTCAAAAAAGACCATCCCTGCGAGATGTATCATTATAAGAATTATGTAGATGACAAATTTATCAAATGGGATAATATTGACTTTCCAGTAGGTAATGATGAGATTGAACTATTTGAAGAACAGAACAAACACATATCGGTCAATGTTTATTACATAAACCCCGATACAAATAGTAAAACTATTTTATTATACAAAAGAAGCACCAACCCACAAGCACAACACAAAATCGATTTGATTAAATTGACTGATGATGTTAAATCCCATTACGCTTATATCAAAAATTATGATAAGTTAATGAGTAGTCAGACTAACAAAAAGAAAGTTAAAAAGTATCATTGTAGAACCTGCTCTCATGGTTTTCAATCAGAAGAATTATTGAATCAACACGAAGAACAGGGATGTCTAGCAGTTGAGGGTCAAAAAATAGAAATGCCAAAAGCAGGTGAAACAATAGCATTCAAAAACCATTTCAAGAAACTTAAAGCTCCATTCGTAATCTATGCCGACTTTGAATGTTTAACTGTGCCAATTGATGTTAAAAGCAAATCGGCAAAAGCTAAAACTACATCATATCAAAATCATCGTCCGTGTGGTTTTATGATTAATGTAGTCAATGCTATAACCGGAAGTAGTGAGCCTTACTTATATATAGGTCAGGATTGTATGGATAAATTTGTTGAGAAAATCAATAAAGTCAGAGAGGAAGTTTTGGAGAAAATGAAGGAGGACAAAGACCGTATTGAAACCGAGAAGGACTGGGAGGACTTCAATAATGCCACTAACTGCTTCATTTGTGGAAACAAATTTGAGGAAGGAGAAAAGAAGTGTTGGGACCATTGCCACTTTACGGGACAGTATAGAGGTTGCGCCCACGAGGACTGAAATCTACGATTTAGTATGAGATATTATAAAATCCCTGTGTTTCTTCATAACCTTAAAAACTATGATGCCCACTTAATCATCAACAAGGCTCACGAACTGAACAAGAATTCTAAAATAGAATGTATCGCTCAGAACAGCGAAAAGTTAATAACCTTTGGTTTTAAAAATCTTTGTTTCAAGGACAGTTTCAGTTTCTTATCGTCTTCGTTGGATAAGTTGGTGAAGTTGAGTAAATATGAGGATGATAAAAAGCGTGAGAATTGGAAGAACAATTTCAGATACAGCGTTAGAAACCCGTATGTTAAAACCGATGAAGATTTGGATTTATTGACTGATAAGGGTATTTATCCCTATGACTACTTTGATGATTTTGAAAGATTTAAGGAAAGGGCTTTACCACCGAAAGAAGCGTTTTACAGTAAATTGAGTGAAGAACATGTAAGCGATAAAGATTATGAAAGGGCACTGAAAGTATGGAAGCACTTCGGGATTAGAACACTCGGACAGTATCACGACTTGTATTTAAGAACTGATGTTTTACTACTGACCGATGTAATTGAAAACTTTAGAGACTTGTGTATGGAATACTACGGTTTAGACCCCGCTCATTATTACACATTGCCAAATTTCGCATGGGACGCGATGCTTCTAAAAACTGGCGTTGAAATAGAACAATTGCATGACCAAGAAATGTTTGAGATGGTTGAAAAGGGAATGAGAGGTGGTATGTGTCAGGTCAGTCATAAATTAGCGGTGGCAAATAATAAGTATATGGGAGAAGCATATGATGAGAACAAGCCATCAAATTATATTAGCTACTTGGATGCTAATAACTTGTATGGTTTAGCAATGTCCCAGAAATTACCGCTAAAAAATATCAAGTGGGCAAAGAAAACTCCCATTGTTGAAAACTGGAATGAAAACGATGAGTTCGGTTATATTATGGAAGTTGATTTGGAATATCCCGAAACATTGCATGATTTCCACTCCGACTATCCACTAGCACCTGAAATAATGAATGTAAATGTTAGTATGCTTTCTGACTATCAAAAGCAAGTCTTCAAAATATATTATGATGGTAAAAGTCCCAAGGACGAGAAAACAAGTAAGTTAATATTAAATCTAAAGGATAAAGAAAAATATGTGGTTCATATTAAGACTTTACAGTATTATTTGAAAATGGGAATGAAAATGGGCAAAGTCCATAGGATAATAAAATTTCAACAGAGGGCATGGTTGAAACCGTGGATTGACTTCAACACTGGTAAAAGGAAAGAAGCCAAAAGCGATTTTGAGAAAGATTTATTCAAATTAATGAATAACGCGGTGTACGGAAAAACTATGGAAGACAAGCGAAACCATATGGATTTTGAATCAGTTGATAATGAGGTAAGATATGAAAAATGTGTTAATAATCCAACATTCAAAAACAGATTTATTATTAATGAAAATCTCGTAGGAGTTGAAAAAACTAAAGCGACGCTGAAATTGGATAAGCCGATTTTCCTGGGAATGAGCATTTTAGATTTAAGCAAATTACATATGTATCAGTTTTACTATGATGTGTTGAAAAAGAAGTATAATGAAAACATCAAATTGATATATACTGATACTGACAGTTATGTAATTCAAACAATGACTGATGATGTCTATAAGGATTTCAATGATATAAAGCAACACATGGATTTTAGCGACTATCCTGTTGAGCATCCATGTCATGACAAAACTAATAAAAAGGTCTTAGGAATGTACAAGGACGAAGTGAATGGAAAAATCATTACTAAATTCATCGGATTGAAACCTAAATCTTACGCCTTCACAATTCACGGTGAGGTTGATGAACATAAGAAATCAAAAGGTGTAGTGAAACACAAAGTTAAAAAAGAACTGTCGTATCAGAACTACCACGAAGCATTATTTCAAAACAAAAAGCATGAAATCACATATAATTTTATTCGTAGTCGCAACCATCAATTATTTTCAATGTCTCAAGTCAAGCAATCTCTCAGTAATTATGAAAATAAAAGGTTTTATATTGATGCTTTCACTTCATTGCCTTATGGACATTACAGCATTTCAGGATGAAATGCTCTAATGAGCTTTGCGACATTACGCTATTACAAAGTAATAGCCTAATGAGCTTCGCGACATTACTCCATAAAATAATTATCTAAATAGTTCTAATAATATGAAATTATTAGAATTATTTTCAGGGACAGGTTCGGGCTCTCAGGTTTGGTCGCAAATTTGAAAGTTCTTGATTTTCTCAACTCCGTTTTTTGTGATTTTATGTTTCGTTATGTTTTTTAATTTTGATGGATTTCATGGGGAAAAACAAAGGTTTTGAAAAACAAGGAAAGGACCAAATCACCGAACATTTACAAACAAACGGGTTTGTGAGAGACCTCAAAATAAAAAAAATCGCGAGAGTTTCGCCTTGTTTTATAGTTTTTTGTATTTATACTGGTTTGTATATGGTTTTATTAGGATTGTTATTATCCCGTACCCGAGAAACCTGCCTAAGATGTGAATGAGGTCGGACCTTCTGACAAGCGGGATGGATGCGGGGTCGGTAGGGTTGGTAGGGTTGGTAGGGTTGGTAGGGATGGTAGGGTTGGTAGGGTTGCTCGGCAGCACAACGATTACCTTCAGGAAAAAGGGATTGTTGGGGTGATGGATTCATCAAACATAAACAGGAAGACCTATACAAAATCCCCGTCGAGTTGATTAGTGAAATATTTGTTTGTTTGTTTTAAGACCCTCAAAAGGGGAACAAGGACGAACCCACCTCTTCCCAGAACCTAGAAGTTGGTAGCGTCGTAGGCAAAGAGCAGGATGACTTCATAACCTCAGACGTGTGGCAGGTGCGGAGACTATCAATGTCTTTTTTCTACCTCTCTTCAATCCGAACGCAAACAGCAACAACCAATAACTGTGTTTTTGTCTCCAAGCAACGTCTATGAATGATGGCACACCAAGTTCTGTACAGATAGGCGCATCATACGGAGTGTTCCGTCATGGTTTATTGTGGTATTGCAAAATACACTTTCCGGTATTGAAACGGTCAAATGCATGGTTTTGCAATACAGAAACGCGTGTTCTGCAATATGGAAACTCCAAGATTGAAATAAACACCTCGGACAATTACATTTGCTACTAAATGGGTCTTATTGCGGTATTGCGCAATAAGCGCGCATTGGTCTGCAATACAGAACGTTCTCGATTCCAAAAAGGCGGAGCAATACCACAACACGAGGGAAGCAATACAGCGGGTGTCAAAACCACCTAGGAAGACATCCGAAGGTTGCCAAAACCCAAACTAGCAACGCCGACATCTTCGTCAGCGTCTTCACTGGTAAGAAAGTCCGTGAGACACTCGCAGAAGTCAGACCAAGAGATGTTCGAAGCATTATCACCAAACTGCACCACAAAACAGTAGTGCATCATCTCGTGGAGAAGCGCGATTACAGTAGTCCTCTGATGGTCAAGTTCGTCTAGACTGTCAAAGCACTCCTTGAAGACAATCTCACTGGACTTTCGGGTTCTCTCGGTGGCACGTGTTGAGCAAACCAAAACCTCTTTTGACAACCTCTTCATCTTAGTCGCGTCCATCTTGTCCAAAATCAGGGAGACAATGCGCTTTGGGTCTTCCTCCAACAACTTTGCAATGCCGACAACCTCATTCTTAGCATTGGCAATTGAAGGGGACAGGCAGGTGGTTCCGCTCAGACGCAACAACTTTGAAGCAATCTTCTCCTTCAGCTCCTTCAACTCTGCTTCCTTGCTACGCTTCACCGCACCTGATTGACCGCGTTTGCCACCTCCTCGCCCGCAGACTTGAAGCAGTAGCACATCCTTGTCTTTGACACCGTTGGTAGTGAAAGTCAGATGGTCATGTAAATCTCTTCCGCTAAACGATGTAAAACGAACCCACGACGGTTTGACCTTGAAGTTGTTGAAGAGAAGGCACTTCAGAACCTTCAACTGCCACGAAGGATTGACATGGAACGGTTTGGTCATATGGATGCCGATTGCATTCAACTGAAGGTAGATGACGAAGTCCTCCTTGGTGTCAAAGAAATCGCCACTGTCGCTGTCGTCTGGGTCATCGTTTCCACCATCTTCACCGTTGGAGTTGTCATCTGACCCTTGTTGCTCGTTGTCATCGTTCTGCTGTTCGTCTTGTTGTCCTGCTGAAGAAGTGGTCGCCGAAGGAAACGGCGACGTCTCAACTGCGGTGCGCTGATGGAACTCTGTCATCATGCCTTTCATCTGCAAAAACTCCACCATCAAACGGTTCCTGTTCTTCTCTTCCTCAATCTCTCGCTTGTATCTAGTGGCATAGTGCTCCCTGTTGCCCTTCTTGACCGAACTTGTAGTGGTGCTCGGTTTTGACAACATGGCGGTCAGTCAGTGCTTTAGAATGCAAACAAGACATTGAGACTTCAAATATTGCGACAGTCTGTGTGGGTGGCTCAAATGCTAAAGAGCAAATAGCATTCTCGGCAGACACCTTTTGTCCATCGGTGTGATGCCTTCAGTCTCAAAGGTCTGTTCAGAGGAAGCATGGGATGAGTTCCTCACAAACTCTGAGTTCAACCAGCTGTGTAATTTTGAGAACACATGAACATCTATTTCAGAGGTCTTTTCACAGTGAGGTTTCCCATCTTGATGCTATAAGACACTTCTACTGCTCATCCTTCTTGTCCTTCTTGCTCTTCGGTTTTGGACCTGCCGCCTTGGAAGCACCCGCTGACGAAGAAGAGGCGGAAGCACCATCCACAGCACGAATGACCAAAGGACGTCCTTGAGTAGCACCCCAAGCAAGCATCTCCGTGCGACCTGTTGAGGACATCGGTTTGTCCTTGCCCACGACCGTGAAATTCACCTTCTTGAACATTGTCTCACTCACAAACGTCTCTGGATACAGAGCACGAAGTTGCCCACGGAGCGTTTTGAATGTAGCACGACCCCTCAACTGAAGGTGATAGTCTCGCCCGTTGTAGTTGATGACAATATCGTAGAGAGACTTACCCTTCTTATTCTGCTCCGAGGCGCCCTTCTCAACGTTCTTGCCCTTTTTCTTCTCATTCTTGATGAGGACCTCCAACTTCAACTTCGCCTGTGACAACGTGCGAAGTTTCGCTATCTCACCATCCACCAAGGACTGGACGGTCTCCATCATAGTCTCAAACTCCTTCGGGTCGGTGGTGTCCAAGATGCCCTGCTTGAAGTCCTTGGTCGTGTCATACTTCTTGAAGACCTTCTCCATCATCTCCTCCGTCAAGAAGCACACCACCTCGTCAGCGACCTCGCTGTTGCTCTCCTCGCTCTCCTCACCCTCCTCCTGAAGGTTAGAAGCAAGCTGTTCGTCCTCCTCATCCTGCAACTGAACGGCAAGTTTCTCGTCAATGTCCTTGCTGTAGCCAGACATGACGAAGCAGACAATTCAAGAAAACGAGCTGGTCAAAGAGCCGAAATATTGCTTTTTGTCAAAGCATGACACAACTAATGGTTGTATCCGGATGTGTCTGTGTTGATTTAATCAAGTCAAACTCTCCCCGCTCAGTGAGACCAAGAAAGCTGGGCAACCCGACATTTCAGAGATGAAGTTGTTGAAGTCGGAGCATAGGGCGGGCAGGACGACCGAATTAATGGTAAAAACGATGTCAAAACAAATGACCCACCCAACACCCCAGAACTTGATAACTACTAAAAGGGCTACCTCTTTCAAATGAAAAAAATGTTTGCCCCCAGCCCAACAATGAACAAGGGGGGCAATTACCAAAATGATTACCTTAACGAAAACGATAAATAAGCTCCCCGAAAACCCTCTTTTAAAAACGAATAAGGGGGAAAACAGATTTGAGATGAACATAAAAACCATAACAGGCAACCGGACGGCAACCCTCAACAAGCCACCCCCCAGGTGGGTGGAATAAAAACGATTTATAAATAATTGGGGGGGGAATACCCCCCAGGAGCCCCCTACTTTTTACCATTTTATCCCCCCAAACCCCCCCGCTGGGTTTTAGAATGTTTACACTACCAGGACAGACCCCAACTACACCTACTATCCCCAAAACCACCATATTTGACACAGCATCGTCAATAACCGAGACATACCACACTTAGGGAATGAAGCACCCTTTCTTGAGTCATGGCTTCTTGAATCATCACTTCTTCGAACATCATCGGGGGGCTATCTATAATGTCTGTCTATCTAATCTAATGTATCTATCTAATCTAATCTAATCTAACCTATCTATCTAGCTATCTACCTGTCTATCGATCTATCTATATATATTTATATATACGTTTCCATATTTCATTATATATGTATATACACATATCTGTATCTATCTACTTATGTATACACCTATGTATCGATCTATCTATCTATCTATCTATCTATCTATCTATCTAATCTCTCCATTTATCTTTCTCTTTTTATCTATCTATCTATCTATCTATCTATCTATCTATCTATCTATCTATCTATCTCTTTATCTATCTTTCTATATATATATATACATCTACGTTTCCATATATCATTATATATATATACATATCTATATCTATCTATTTATGTATATACCTATCTATCGATCTATCTATCTAATCTATCTATCTATCTTTCTATCTATCTATATAGCTATTTATCTATCTATCTATCTATCTATCTATCTATCTATCTATCTATCTATCTATCTATCTATCTATCTATCTATCTATCTATCTAATCTATCTATCTTTTTGAGCTACCTAACATCCACTTATCTATCTAATATCGCTCTCCTCCTCTCTCTCTCTTCTCATATCTATCATCCCTCAAAAATCAACAAAAAATATCCCATGAGAAACAGCGCCCCTCTCTCTCTACATCATCATCTCGTCTCTTCTCTATCTCCTCGTCTCTCAGAGTCTCCCAATCATCTCTCCTCTCTCCTCCTCTCTCTCTCTCTCTCTCTCTCTCTCTCTCTCTCTCTCTCTCTCTCTCTTTCTTTTTTGTAAATCAATTTATCCACCTTTCGATCTATCTATCTACCTCTCTCTCTATCTATCTATCTGTCTATCAATCAATCAATCTATCTATCGATCTATCTATCTATCTACCTACCTACCTATCTATCTATCTATCTATGTATCTATCTTATATATCATTTTTTTGCTACCTATCTATCTACTTATCTATCTATCGCTCTCTCTCTCTGTCTCTCTCTCTCTCTCTCTCTCTCTCTCTCTATCTTTTTTGTAAATCTATTTACCCACCTTTCGATCTATCTATCTACCTCTCTATCTATCTATCTATCAATCTATCTATCTATCTATCTATCTATCGATCGATCTGCCTATCTATCTATCTATCTATCTATCTCTTGTTTCTCTCTCTCTATCTACTGATCTACCTATCCAAGGCTTTTGAAGATTGGTTCGTTTAAAGCCTCCGGCAACCGCCTCGCCTCGTTGTCTCAACCCAGGCGGAACAGCTACAAGGGTCTGAGAGGGCATTCCTTCTAGGCAGCCGCGTAAGATTTTGCGAAACCTGTTCAGGCTGAGTGTTTAGATTGGAGACTAGTCAGTGTACCAGCTTTCGGTTGCAGACGTGAGCCCGGAACAATGATGACGCCCTTTTTTCTCGGAAACATGCTATCTACTGATCTACCTATCCAAGGCTTTTGAAGATTGGTTCGTTTAAAGCCTCCGGCAACCGCCTCGCCTCGTTGTCTCAACCCAGGCGGAACAGCTACAAGGGTCTGAGAGGGCATTCCTTCTAGGCAGCCGCGTAAGATTTTGCGAAACCTGTTCAGGCTGAGTGTTTAGATTGGAGACTAGTCAGTGTACCAGCTTTCGGTTGCAGACGTGAGCCCGGAACGAACATCATGGGGGGGGGCTGCCTTTCGGTTGCAAACGTGAGCCCGGAACAATGATGACGCCCTTTTTTTCTCGGAAACATGCGAAGGGTTCTTCTTCTAAAAACGAAGGACGGGCGAGGGGGGGTCAAAAAAAAGGAAGGGGGGGTCAAAAAAAAAAGGAAGGGGGGGTCAAAAAAAAAGGAGGGGGGGTCAGGAAAAAGGAGGGGGGTCAAAAAAATAATGTGGAGGGTTAAAAAATGATGGTTCCCACAAAAAAAACCAGGGACTTGGACTGTCCCAAGTTCTCCGGGCTTGCATTAAGTTTCTAAAGCTGATGGACGGGTCTTCTTTTTGGCGGGGAAACCACACGAAAAAAGGAAATTACACGTGAATTGCCCTCTCACGTTTATGCGGGGGAAAGCGACGCCAACCGCACTCAAAGAAACAGTTGTATTTCAGATGCTCCAATCTCTTTTCAGCACCCTCCGGTCCGCGTGGGCAATTCGTGTGGGGAGTTCACACCGTTCGGCTCCTGAGGTCCTCATGAGCTGCGGCCGCCGGGACCTCGGCGCCTTCGGCGCCGCCGCGAAGTCCGCGGCGCAGCTGGGGGCCGCGGACTGCGCCTGGCGCGCGGTGTGGGACCTGCGCCTGGGGCCGGCGGCGGAGAGCCAGGCCGTGGCGGGGGGTGGTGGGGTGGGTGGGTAAAACCGTGGAGAAACAACGGGGGGAAGGGGAGAAAGCGACCTGGAAAAATGGGGGTCCAAAAAGTGGAAATTCATGAAACCCAGGGCTGGCAATGGTGCACTGGTTTTGGCTGGCATGGAACAGCTGCAGGTGCGGCGGAAGATGCTGCTGCTCTTGGCCTCGCAGTGCGTGGAGTGCAAAGCGCCCACGGACTTCGAGCATGGCATCCTGGGCGCAAGGCTCTGCGAGGGCTGCGAGCGCAGCTTCCCACACTACGCGCTCATCAGGCCGGAAGATCGACAGGGGGGTCAGGGAAGCAGAGAGAGGTTCTGGGGTATGTGTCAAAATCGTTGTTTGGTTGTCATGAGGAATGGTTCCGTTTGGCGTCTCTTGCCAACCCCAAAGGCATACCTTCAAAACACATACACACACACACACAACCCCCTTTTGAGCAACCTGCTCAAGCTTGAACGTGAGTCTCCAAACCAGGTCTCTTCAACTGTTGCGTTGATATCTTTTCCATGTGCGCTTCCGTCATTATGTTGATTCTGTTGCAATATCCTGGTTTGACCTTGCAGCCAATTGTGATACTCAGTTTGTCTAGCAGGTACGGCTATGTGTGGAGCATTCTGTGACATCATGTATGATTTTAGCTTTCGATCAAGTTGTGCAGAGTGCAACCACAACACGTCAACGCGTCTGACTGCAAATCATGCGACCCACATTCCACAACCTGAAAGTTGAAACTTAGTATGGGAGAGTTTCAATCAGACATAGAAACTGCCGCTGCTTTGATTCTTACATTGTTTTTGCTAGGCCCCTTTGATACCAGGCTTTGACTCAGTCGCCTCTTGGCTTGCGGGCATGTCGCATTTCGGCGAGCCGGCAACTGGCGCTGAACGGTTAGACTTCAAAGTCGCTGCTCCATTCAAACAAAAGACACACGCATGACGTCAGACATTGGTGGACTGCGATCACGGAGAAAAAACGGCCGGCAGAGCCCAAGGGGTAGAGTCGCTCAAGTGATGAAGGACACAGTGCCGACCCCGGAAGGAGCTTGGCGGATGAGGGCGGCGCTCCGTGCCCTCCCAATCAGACTCAACCAGGGGTTCGCCGTAAACAACTGGGTTCCGACAGCACATTTCCAACAAGAACCTAAGGACTCGCTCATTTGCACGTGGGTGAGAGTGGCTCCCAGGGAGATCGCAGTTTCTCGGGTTTCGGCTCGGTTTTCCTTGACTCCAACCTCTTGGCTTGCAAGCTTGTTTCAAGAAACACCGCCGGGGGGTCCCTCAAATTTGCGATGAAGCCTCACCTTTTCGGCCCATGGGGGAGCCTCCCTTCGAGGACCCATGTTTTGAGGTTGCACATCTCTGCCATGGGGCACAATTCCTGGTTGCTGAGGGTGAGCAAGTGGACACTGTTAGTTTGGGCGATCTTATCTTGCTGGTGTGATAGGTAGGGAAAGAGGGAATGAACCCACTTAAAGGAAACCACCAGTGGGATGGTTTCTTTCAGGCATTCATTCCATTTCTCCTTCCCTTCTCTCGCACTTATCGCACATTGTATAATTTTTCCCTTTCACCCCCCCCCCCCCCCGCCGGTTTCTTTTTCTTTTTCGGGGAGTTTCCGTTGTTGCCGGAGAGGAGCAGCACCGCCATCAAGGAGTACCAGCTGCCCCTGGGCGCGCTGCAGCAGCTGCCGGGGCTGGACGGCGCCACGGGCCGCGTCTTCCTGCGCCGGGACGTGGAGGCCCTGGCGGCCAGGCACCACACGCAGGCGGCTTCCGGGCTGCGGGCTGTGGGGGCGGAGCGGCGGGGTGTGGTTGGGCGCGGTGGGGGCGGGGGGGGATGGGTGAGGGGGAGGGGGGGGGTGGAGGGGGTTTCTGGATGCGAGAGTCCGGGTTGGTGGTTGGTTGGTGGTGGGTTCGGGGGGTTCGGCGGTTTAATGGATGCGAGTTTGAGGCGTTGGTAGGGATTGAATTGTTTAGGGTTGGTTTCATGGGGTTGGGGGCTACGATGGCATGTTCCAGCTCGACATGCAGGGAGCCATACGATGAGGCCACATGCCCCAGATTCCGAAACACGGACGCGAGAGCCCGAGGGTGGAAAACCCCCCAGTGAATGGGCGAAGCCTCGAAAGTTGGTGCTTGTTTTTTGCTGTTCGCTGGCCCCTTGCTTCCCTGCACATGAACGGGACATCTCTTCTTGGGGTAGCTTTTGGGCTTTCATGTCAATTGGCCGGGATCCTCTTTCCAACAAGTCATGGAGGATCGGGGGGCTTTTCAAGGAAAGTAGGCTTCCCAAATCCTGCGAGCCATTTAGGGCCTCCAAGTTTTGACCATGGGTAACTTGTTTTTCTTTTTTTGTTGACATATCCTCACATTTTCGTTGATCCACCACCAGTTACCGAGATACTGTGGATGGACGAAGTCCATTTCGCGCCACCTAAGAAACCCTAGAATCGTATGATCCCCTGTAATTATCAACAAACGTTATGGTTTCAACCGTGGTGTCTTGTGTGGTGCGAAATGGATCTTGTCCATCCACCAGTTACCAAGATATGGCCGTGGGTCAAAACCAATGGTACCATTTTGGGGTAGGTGCAGCACCCGTTTTAGAACCTATTTTAGTGGTTGGATTGGGATGCCAACCACTGGGGGCTAAGCGGGCTTTTGGTTTTGCCCCATGGCCAGTCTCTCTCAGGAGAGCCTCCAACAGCTCCGCGCCAAGAACGACGTGGGCATCACCGCCTCTGGGCGGCAGCGCAAGAAGCCGGACTTCCGCAGGCCATGGAGCCGTGAGTGGATGTGCCGAGCTGGAGGGTTTTTGGGGTGAAATGGGCCAAAGGACACTTTGCGGGTGGGGGGGGGGGTGCAAATCGAGTATGCCGAGGATGCCATGAACACGAGTTTGGTCTCAAGCACGTCTCCGGAAAGGCAAGCAGCGAGCGGCATGTCGCGAGCGCGGGAAGTGCGCGCCGTGTTTCAGGCCGGGCGTTTGCTGACCTTCGAACTGCAGATGACTTGCACAGTCTGCCTCCGAGCAAATGAACACGGACCCCTTTTCCCCAAAAGAGAGTCCGGTGGGAAATCAGATGCAGGGGGATGTTTTGCCCAGAGGCCCAGCTTCAAAGAGACTGTTGCAAAGTTGCGCACTTTGAATGCTGTTGCCTCTCGAACCATAACGCTGAGACATGCTACGCAGTGGGAAAGTATGTTGCTTGCACTTCTCTCCCTAGAAGACCATTCCAAGCTCCGCGCAGGGAACGGTCTCTGCAAAAGGCCAAGTTAAAGACCTTTCTTTTTTTGTTTTTCTCCCCCGAGCAGGGCTTGCCTTTTCCTTTGGTTTCACAGGGGATCTCCGCTTGAAGGCATTGTTAGAGGCGGAACTTGGGCGGCTTGCGCGCCAGGACACCGATCCGTGCTGCTTTGAGGCGACGGCTCTACGGCGCGCCGACCACGCCATCGATCCGGAAGGCCGAGTTCGAGTTCGGTCGCCACCGCCGTTGCGAGCAACTTGCGTACGTCGCGATCGCCGGATGCCGCATGAGACCGAGGGCTGGGTGCGAGCCTCGGGGGTTTGTTTTAGTCTTCTTGGCAGCCGGGAGTCCCCTTGGCAAATAGACATGGGCTTACCATGTGGACCCTTGCAAGTCTGCGAAGGCGGCTATGAATCAGAGGAATTGCTTCACTGGACTCCCCAAATCGTAGCGTTGCCAGGCGGGCCATTGCCTGCGTGCCGCTCGCCGATTTTCGGGCGAAATGGAGAAAGGTCCGCTTTGCTCCGAAAAGAACGCAAGGGAAGAGCGCAGTTCTACATTTCCGGGGCTCATTTGTGTCAGATGAGGGTACACTTTTCAGGTTGGTTTTGACTTGAAACTCCTTCATGTTGTGACCTTTTTTGTAAAACGCCCAATGTTTTGCCTGCAATTAGGAGCACAAGACAAGGATAGGTGGACTCACTTGGCATGCATGGCAAATCCCACTTGGTAGTTTCAGCCGTCTTCTTTTTCCGCCACAGAAGCTTCTCCACCCGTGGCACATGGTACACGCGATATCTCTCTCGGCCAAGCTTCTGGGGCTTTTGTGATAGAAGGTTGGTCCACTTCCAGCGGCTCCGGCGTTGGCTCGAGTAGCCTTCAGTTTTCCAGTGACATTGAGTATTTTGAAAGCTCAGGAGCATTGCCCATGTCCCTTGCAGAAATCCAAGCAGCACGCTACGGTGGCACCAATCGAATCCAACGAAGCAGGCGTTGAGACGCTTGCCAACGCAGATTGATATTTCAGATAGCTTGAGTAAGGCACAGCATAGAACACATACGCACTCAAAAATGCACACACAACACACACACACATCATTGATTTGGAAGCATGGATGTGTCGCATTGATTGCTTGCTGCTGCGATGCAGCACCTTGGTAGCATTAGGCATTCTTTTGTCACGGCAAGTGTAGAGTTGACAGTGTACCAAGCTACCAAGCTGCGTTTGGTACAGATACGGTCGTGCGAACGCTTATTTTTACAGGACTTTTTCGCGAGCATTTTGCAATGCGTTGCTCATTTACGGCTGTTGAGGTGCAGCAAGGCTGCCGGCACATAGTTGATTACGCTTCGATCATTACAACCACGGTCTGGTTGTTCAAGCCATTTTTGTGACATGGGTAATATTAGGGTTCATTTCAGGCCATCCGTGGGCATTACATACAGCGTAATATTGTATGTTTCTAAATTTTCCGAAAGTAGTAACATGGGCAATATTCGGGTACATTTCTGGGCACCCCTTCGCACTGCGCACTTGGGAAGGCGTTTTGGGGGCCTGCTGTGCGCGCTTGGCGCAGCAATTGCCTTCGGTGTTCAGCGCGGGGCCCAGCACGGCCTTGTCGGATGGGTAGGATAGTTCTGTCCACAACTGAAGGGTGCTGTGCACACGACGTATTGAACGTGTGTATTTATATGTGCATACATGTACATCTACTAGGTGTGCATTGTATGCATGCAAGCACGGGGTCTGGATGCAAGCATGGGGTCTGGATATTTGAAGCCATGGTCCCCTTAGGAAACCCGAAAGGCGGTCCTTTGAGCAACACCAACTGGACATGTTCAAAGAAGGGCCTGGCCCAAAGCGATCTCATTCTCCGCAGCCCAACGAACTCTCAGGTACGTTCCGGTGAAGAAGTATGAGATCTTTGACGGCGTCACCTTTCAGTGGTTCATGTGTGGGGGCATCCTTCTGGCTGCTTAGTCGCAACAGCAAGCTAGCTTGCTCACGGCTTCCACCGATGGCAGCACGTAGTTTGGTCAACAATTCCTGGATGCTATTGCTCGATCTTGCCCAGGTGGGCTTCCTGTCGTCTCTGATCTTCGGTAGCTTGGCAGCGAGTGTGCCTGATCTTGCCAGTGCTGCGTTGCCGGTTTTTCGGCCAAAATGAATGAGCTGATGTGCGGTATTTGTGCTGCTTTCTGATGGTGATGCCTGCGAGGCAGCTTTGGCATGGCCGACGAGAAGGAGCCATCGGGCAGGGAGAGGAAAGAGTGCTCCCGCCTGCACCCATTCAATGTGAACCTGTGCAATAATGCGGCTCGCGGATTTCAAACTCTGCTTCTATTTGCCTGTGTGCAGATGCTCTTCGGATATCTTTGGGCCTGCGCTTGCCCCGTGCCGATTTGGATTTTTTCGCCTGCTCAACTCAGCGGGCATGCGTGAAACTAGCACAAGTGAGCCAGAATCAAAACCTGGTTAGATGAAAGCGGTGCGGCTGTCCCCTTGGTTCTTTATCGGTTTGAAGTTTGAGTCGACCACTTTAGTACCAGATTTTATTACTACTACTCGTATGGGTATGGCTAGAATAGTGGGGGACACGTGGGTGCTTGTCAAAATTGTGATCCCTTGAACTTAAACCCTTGGTCGCCGTCTGGTTTCCCGTTTCCGGACCGACCAAAAGAAGGGTCCACCGTTTTCGTGTCATTCGGCCAGGAGTGCCTCCTCATCATCGCGGGCGGGGCGCTTTGGGCGCCGGATCCTCAAATGCGACAGCCAAAGCTTTGGCAAGCTCAAAGCTTTGCACATCGAAGATACTGGTTGCGCCTTCTCTCTCTCTCTCTTTTATCTCCGAGTCTATTTTTTCTCCTTCTGGCTTTCTTTTGTTCTTTCTTTCTTTCTTTCCTTTTCCCTCTATTGAGCTGGCTCTGATTGGCCCGACGCCAGCTATGCTTATGACTTGGGACCCGTTGCTGAAGTTGCAGAAAAGTGTAACAAAGAACGCTGTGGATGCAGGGCAGGCCCATTCCGACAGTATACACTCATGCAGTTGATTGCACACTTTGAAATGAAGAGAAAGCTGACAAGCCTGACAGAATATATATATATATATATGCTATGGGTATCGGTCCGAGTGCCGCTTTTCACAGGTTCATATACTAGGCGCCCAAGTTCCAAGATACTTGGAAGCTAATCTTAGCCTAAGCCCCAAAATGAACAGAATCAACGCCCGCAAAGCAAACCAAGACTAAGCTGACGCTGGCGATGCTTTTTGGCAAGCCTTCTATGGAGACCTACCGATGTTTGCCAGCCGCCTTTTCGGAGGTTCTCAAGTTGCTGGGGGTTCCTTTCTTTGGTCAAAGGAAAGCAAAGGGCAACCCGCTGTAGGGGACTATTTTGTTTTAATTGGTGGTCGTCCTGTTCCTGTTTAAACTTTCGTTCCAACAAGGATATCATTCGACCCCACAAAGAACGGAGCACCACATTTTCGCCTTGCGCATCTCAAACCAAGAGTTGGGCAATCCCACAACCACGAATCTGACAACCTCGAAATGGCGCAACATCCAGCGCCTTCTTGCTGCGCGTTTTAAAATCCGCGGATGTCTCGTCGCTCGACTTGTGGGATGTGAGGCTTTCGAACTACCTGGTCCTGCCACTGGTGAAGCTGCTGGGCATTGGCCTGGGCTTTTCGTTGGGAAGCCAAGTTTGGGGGGGGGGAAAGGCCACTTTGAAGCCAGTTTGAAGCCAAAAGAGTGTAGTCTTTCTGATTCTGGTTGGACACCCCCAAAATGGTGGTTTTGCTTTTTGGTCCTTCAGCTTCTTAAAGACCGCAAAGAAGGGTACCCTCACAAACAAAAAAAACAGCCAATTGGCTGGCCACTGTTTTGGATCACCAAGTGCCAGTTTGCTTGTCTCGGATTTTGCATTTGGCAGAAAGTCAAAGGGGATAGATTGTGTGTCAGTTTGGGGGCAAGCGATTTCGACCCGACCCAGGCTTTACCACTTTGTAAACCTGGTGGTGGGCTATGCGCGAGTGCCCAGAATCGAGCGGAGATCTCGGCCATGAATCGAACAAATCGTAGACCTCATGTCGGGGAGAGTTTTCCAGCGCCAAGCATAGGACTTCGGAAAGCTTGCAGATTGGAGACTTATGACTTATGACGGACGTGGTGGAACCCTCCGGTTTTGCCAGAGTGGAACCCGCGCAAGGTGGGGGTTCCGCGCACCCGAGCCACTGGCTCTCGGGTCCTATCAACAGGTTCTGCATGTTTGCAAGGTGGCTGTGGTTGTCAAAACCGTTTCGGGATCCCATTTTGGGGATGTTCACCGTACGGGCTTTTGACTCATGAGGTCATCGGCCGCTTCGGCATCTTCGACATGGAGCCTCTGAAGGGCAACACCCAGGCCGAGAGCGACGTCTCTGCTTCCCTGCTCCCCCCGTTTTCTCCCTCCCCTCCCGCCGCCCCTTTTTTGGGGGGTTCCCTGGGTTTTGGCACATATCTTTCGTGTCAAAGGGAAACCATAGGAACAAAAAGCTTTCATGTTGGTGGGTCCAAGCTGTGACCAGTGTCTCGGCAGATTTGCGACGTCGGCTGCGGCTTGGTGGCTTGGCAGCCATCGGAAATCGGAAAGCCTCGAGCTGTTGAATCCAGTTCCAACAGAGCTCCGATCGCGACATGACATGGACATCGACATCCAAGAAAAGGGCCTCCCTTTAACAGGGCTCCTCAAAAGAAACATGGCTTTATGGCTTTTTCCACCAAAATAAAGGGAAACCACCATTTACAAGGCAATGTTCAGGTGTATAATGTAAGAATCCCTGTTTAACCGACCAAACAGTGGTCTGAAATTCATTTTGAGAAAGACCCATGTGGCTAGGAGGTTCAAGAGTTGGTGCTTGGTGAACGCGAATCCAGCTTTCGGAAAAGCGAAAGATCACCAAAGGGCCCAGTCGAAGATGCCATTGTTGTTCATCACGTCAGGGGTTCTGATCCAAAAAAGCACCCGGGTGACCCCATCGCCGTTGAAGCCACCTTCGACTGGGATATTTTTTTTTTGCGTTTTGCTCCCCTGCAATGCTTGCTGGTGCGATAGGTAGGGAATCACCGTTCCGGGTTTTGGGAATGAACCAGAAGGGGAGTCTCCTAAAGGAAGCTATCTGGGATTGTTCAGTTCGGTTGGTCATTCCATTTCTCATCCCCTGCATCTATCAAACCAGCAAGATACACATATTCTTGTTGGATCCCAGTAGTCCGTTTTGGGGCCCACCCCAAAAAGCAAGAACACAAATCAAGAACATGGGGAGGGGACGGTTCCTTTAAAGCCGTACCAAAAGCTTGGGGTACCAGCTCCAGAAAACGACACAATCCAAGCCGCCCGAAGCCGAGACCACAATCAAAGCCGATTCGGGTAGATGAAGGTTAGTAAGGGACAATCCCAGCCATAAATAGTTGCGGATATCCGTCGTATTTCCTAAAGCATGGTTCTGGGATTACGACCCTTTTGATACAAAGGGTTTTGAGAAAGCGACTCAGGTGGGTTCCTTTAAAGCCGTACCAAAACCTTGGGGCAGCTCCATAAACGCCACCCAAGCCTCCCGAAGCCAAGGTGCTGTGCTCCTTCTTCCTCATGGTCTTCGTGGAAGAGGCCGAGCAGCGCGAGACGGGCACCGAGCTGGACCAGGTGACTCGAAGTAAAGTTGATCGAGGGGAAGCGGCGAAACGGGGAAGTCGTGGCGGTTTTGGCAAGGAGAACCACTAGGTTGGGGCCTCCCCAAAACACACGCATGGCGGGATGGTCCACTTTCTTTACGCTGGAGCCACCAGTGCCTGGCCCAGAAGTCCACGTCGCACACACCAAGCCCTATCCGATCCAGAACCCCACTGCCTCCCTCCCCAATCTCCATCCCATCATCTCCATTCCTATCAACCCGTCCCTCCCGTTGTCCGTCCATCCACAAGTGCCAACAAGAATATGGCAAGGGTTGTGTGTGCAAGACAAAGAGGAGTCGTGTTGGTGCCGGCGGCTCGTTGACTCACCGCCCCAGGCATATCGGGATAAGTACGCTCGCTGGCGCGAGGAGCACGTCGCGGCCTTTGATCGCTGCGGTTTCCCAACCTGCTTTCTGTGTGTTGCTGGGGCTCCGGTGGTTTGTGGCCTGACTTTTCTGGGTTTGACGATGCAGCTTCCCATATGCAGGCCACTCGGGATGTGTGCCATGAAAGACTTGGTAACGTGCACTGCTTGAGCGCGCTGCGAGCTGGCCAGGGAACGGATTTGGGGCCTCTGAAGCAGAAGCAAAGTGAGCGAGCTCCCCGCCCCGCCTGAGGTGAACAAGCCGAACCAGCCCTCGGTCATTGAAGCCACGGGCAGCGTGTTGGTGTCGAGCCTCGGCGGTTGGTTCGGGCCATATCCGGGAGACTCTGGGGGGGGGGAAATTCATTTGGCACAAACACCAGGGGGACTCACTGGCTTTCCGTCCTTAGAGGAACCGCATAGTTTGACCGTGGGTCACGAGGTGGATTTGGGTATGCGCAGAGGAGGCCCTTAAGGCTAGAGGGGATGATGCGAACCGTGGACTGGGTGAAAAGCTTTTTTGGCTTACTCTGCGGGTCATGCCAGTCTTGTGTGCTCCATGACGAGTCATGCATAGTGAACTGAACTGCAGCTTCTTTGAGACTCAACTCGGCGCTCGAAGGGCGCCTTGCGTTGGCTTGGAACGGGAAGAGAAGTTGTGCAATAGAGCAAACCTCGCCCGATGAAGCGCCATGGGCCATTTTGGGTTCGTAATGTGAGAAGCCAGATGGATCGGGTCCCTCTTGTTCTCCCTCAAAATCCGAAAGAATGGTACCCTCAAATCTCGGAAACCGTCACAATGCCTCGGTTTCCTTTCGGCATCGTTTTGGGGGTGTTTATGACGAAAGCATTCTTTTACTTGGTTGGTAGGGATGGTCATCAACCCCTGAGAATTGAGGCAAAACATGCGACGCGGCATGAGGCTCGGTCAACACTTCCAAAGGTGATTCGCTCGTTTTTTTGAGAAACATCCACAGCTACCCATATTTTTTCCTCGAGAAAGTTCCCTGTTTCGAGTCCTGCACGCCAGGACTTCTTTGACCGCCAGTGCGGCGTGGTTTCTTTTGAGTGGACCCCACCCCAAAGAAATAGGATTGCAGTTTTCCTGGTTGGTTGCCGCCACCAACCGAGGGGGGGGGGTTTACCAACTCCAAACAAATCAAGAACCGCGGTTCTCCTTTTTTGCTTCCGTGCAACAACAGGGGTAGTTCCAAGGCCCTCCCCCCCAAAAACAGTCGGAACACGGACCCCCGCGTTCCGCCCTGCTCGGATCGACTCCATCCGCGGCGAGCGCCTCGGATCGCGCCTCGAGCATCGAGGTACTCCACCGCCGAGGCGGGGGGACAGCTGCACTCGGTGGGCGGCTTCTCGGTGCTGCAGCCCCCGAAGCTGCCGAGCGCGCCCAGCGCGCCGAGGCGCGCGCGGCTCCTTTCCCTTCACACCAACCCCAACCTCACCCTGCAAACACGGAGATTTCTCCAAGCAACCACGGACGGATTTCTATTTTTCTTTCCCCGCAAAAAATATCCTCCGACTCGCCGACTCCCGCGCCCAATCCCCCGCACCAACCGGGCAGAAATGGAAGGCCGTAGTACTAAGCCCTTTTTGCTTAGTGCTCAAACGGAAACGAACGGATTCGGATCAACTTTTGGTTGGTTGAAAGAACAAAGAAGAGACACAAGAAGCTGTCCATTTCGGTTATTACTTGGAGGCAAACACACCGATTCTCCTTTAAGTTGGGGAGGGAAACATGGTGTGACGGATCCTCCCAGATCGATTTGGGTGAGCTTGGTTGAAACCACTGTAGTTTTTTTTTCCACAAAAAATAGCCTCCTTTTTGGTGTCCCGTTTGAAGCAGATCTAGCCATATCCGGGAGTCAAGCCTTGAGTAGGGGGGTGGGACAACCCATATCTTGGTTGACACCCTGTGGGAGACTCTTTGAACATCCAACAGAGGGTCCCTGAGTTTGAACATACCCTTCCTGCAACAATCATACAAGTGGAGTAATGGTGGTTTTCCCTTGGTTTCCTTTCAACCAACCCCAACAAGGGCACCACCAAAAAAAGCCAGGAAAAAAAAGAAAAACACACAACAAAAAAACACACACCCGCATGGGAAGAATGAGGAGCTGGGGGAAGCCGAATTTTTGCGGTAAAGACCTGGGAAGATGGGGATGGGAGTCGTCTCACGCCAGGGTTGAGGGCGAGGCGGCTCCCGATGCGGCAGGACCCAGCCCTTGAGCTTTCGATGGTGTCCGTTTTGGATGGACTCCGTTTGGAACCAAAAGGACCTTTCAAGCATTTTGCGGCTCATGCCCAGTTTGCCCCGCAAGAAAAAGGTGTCCGCCTTTTCTTTCTTTGGCTCAAAGAGAAACCAAGAGGTAAGCGACGGATCTTTTTGCGGGGTCCTTCCATTTTCACGAGCCGTACACCAAGTCAAGGTTCCCCTCACGAATTTTTGGGCACCCAACTTCAAAGGACGACGAAAGCACCAGGGGTGGGTGCCATTCGGCGATGTCTTTCGTGGCAAGAGCCAAAATCCGGCAAGGAGGGCTTGACATGGAGGCAGGCCGAGTGGAGTTGGACACGTTGGTCCAAGCTCGCAGTGGCTGAGTCTGGCGCGACGTTGCAGGTTGTCTTGATGCGGGGTCGTTTGAATGTGCAAGCGGAGTCAGTGGTGGAAACGATTGCTTCCACCGAGCCGCAAAACGGCTCATGAGACCATGGGTTAGGTGAAAGTACTAAGCCCCAGAATCGCACTCTTTGGCGTTGCAGCTGTCCTTTCTCGCGCCCGTGAGATGCGTCAGTGGCCGCTGTTGACATGTTATGAACGATGGAATTCATCATGATCCAGGAGCAGACTGGGAAGTAGAGGTTTATTCCCATGAGATGCTTGTTAAATCGGGATTTTCCGACCATTCCAAACACCCACTGGCGATTTATGCTTGAGTCATGTTGCCAGGCATTGCGCGCTGAGATGCGAAGCAGGGGCCCCAGCCCCGTTGCAGGGGAAGACGCGGCGAGCATGGAGTATGGAGGACGCAAGAGAGAGTTGCGCTAACCTCAATGGCCCATTTGGGTGCGGTTCTTCTTTTGAGTTGGGGTACCGTACCTCTTGTTTTGGGTGAAGAAACTCTGTTGTTGTTGGGGGGGTCCCCTCAAAAAAAGACACACCCATTGGGTTCTGCTCGCGGCTTTGGCTAGGTGATGCGCCGCACTCATCCTCGGCCACTCGGATGGCAAAGGGCTGAAGGGTTGGGTCTCGAGTTCTATGTGAAGGGCTACTCTATGTTGCTCTGTTTGACGTGTCTTTAATGCAATGCTTCATCGCTGTCAAGTATCACAGTTTGCTGCGTCAACAATATCATGATTTGCTCTCTGCACTATGCTATCGGCATGCGGTTTGTTCCTGCATGGGATGCCTCAATTTTCCTTGCATTCCGAGCAGCTGCGGGGTTGTGGCAGACAAGGACACAAATGGTAAGAACCCCATTTAGCGCTCGGTTGAAAGCGTTCATAGCCTGGGCAGTACTCCATGGCAATATGGGCCTTATTCAAACTTACAGGATCTCCTGGAAAGGGGAAAGGATCTCTTTTTGCTCGCGATCGGTGCGATAGGCAGGGAATGAGACATGGAATGACCCGAAAAGAAAACAACACCTCCAACTGGTGGTTTCCTTTCGGGGATCACTCCTTCCCACTCATTCCCCACCGATTTCTTGCGCCGATCGCAAGCTTGGCAGCGGCTGCCCCCCAGTGAGGCCGTGGAGAGCTTCCTCCATGCTGCGGCGGGCAGCGAGCCCCCCACCGCCGCAGGCGCCGAAGGGCGGAAGGGCCGAAGGGCCGAAGGGGAGGATGCTGCCATGTGGGGTGTGCCTAGATCGCCAAGCGGCTTTTTCTTGCTTTTTTCAGTCACTGCGACCGGTTTTTGGGGTAAAGTGGAGGGAAAAAGGCAGCAACTGGCGATCCAGGTGGTTGCTTGGTTTCAGTTGGCACCCCAAGTTTTTGGTGGCTTGGAAGGGACCACTTAAAGGACATCCAGGACATCCACCCTTTTTGTGTGTTGTTTTTTTGGGGGGTCCCCTCAACAACGACACACCTATTGTTTCGGTCAGGATGACCCGTCTATAGTTCATTTTGGAGGGACACGAGAGGACTCAGGCTTTGAGCGTATCTCATTAGTGTTTTTTTGGATACCCTGTTGGGATGGTTTGTAAGCGAATCCCAAACGGCCAAGTCGCGCATACCCATTTGGCGATTCGGCCTTGTAGCGGCTTGAAATTCCTCAGATATGGTTGCCCAGCCCCAAATGTGGTCTCCCGAATAAAAGGAAACA